TCCAGCTCAGATCTCAGTTGTCTAAGGTGCCACATCCCTTGGGCATGCCAGCAACCTATGATTGTGGGCTTAAATCCTGGTTTGCCTCGATTATGTTTGTATGTTTGTCAGCACCATAACTGTGCTCATGGTTTGAGACCTGCATCACTCCAGACATACCTCCTACAGTAAGCTGATACGCCCTGATGTGACTTGAATACTAGATCTATTTCAAAGCGACATTAAACCCAACTCTCACTCACTCACTCACTTACTCACTCACTCACTCACTCACTCACATGATTTTAATCCATACACAAGCAGTTGGAATATGATGCTACAGGAAGATCTACATGTAGTTGGGCATTTATTTAATAACACAATGTTAGTTATTAGACGTAAATATTACAAATGCTAATGTAATGGATGCAGAGCAGAGTTGTCCCTTATGGCTGCCAGGATCTGTTTGGTCATTGGATCAACTCTCAGTTTGCCCCAGTTGGATTAGTGAGTGAGTGAGTGAGTTTGGTTTTATGCCGTTTTTAGCAATATTCTGGCAGTTTCACGGCTGGAGACACCAGAAATGGGCTTCACACATTGTACCCATGTCGGGAATCAAACCCTTGTCTTCCGCTACCCGGCCGTCCCCCAGTTGGATTAGATCCACGGTGTGTGAGACAGGGATTTACCTCGGTCCAGAGGACACTCAGTAGGGGTACACATATTTTAGGGGTACAAGGCATGAACATAGGGATCCATGGCGGGCCACAGGTGACACACTACTCTTGAGGAGTTTAATGATGTAGTGATGTCATTTAGTTCCACAGGTTCAGAAGCCTTTAACCTGTTCATTCCTGTATTATAGATTGATATTTCAATGTTGGATCCAAGAAAATTAAACAGTAACACTAATTTGAGTGTATCTTACAAGAATAGAAATATCAGTAACATGTCACATACAATATACAATTGTGATGGCTTTTAATTTGCAAATTTTATTTTCACGTTTGTCTTAACCTCTGTATGTTTGAAAATGTCAGGATATGTTTTGATAATGTGTATTTTTCTATCAGGAATCCATGTGTGAAATATTGGTTCAATTGTGCCATGTTTAATGATGCCTCGACTGTTTGAAGACACCCACCACCTTTACAGCGCCTTATACTAAAATAAATCCAGCAGGCAGGGCATAGTAGGGTCAAACACAAATCAACATGTTAAAGGTTAAATTGTGCATAACTTGACAATTATTAGGGTAAGTTTGGTAAACTCTCCTTTGATTTGAGTAAGCAGGTGAGATGAAGTGAAGTGTGGTTTATCGTCGCATCCACGATTATTGCACTTATATAGCGAAGTGCGTGCGTGCATGCATGTGTACTTGTCCGGACTAATGCAGATTTTATTGTGTTAGCCTACTGAGAATACCATTCCACAGTTTAACATGAATACTCCACTGATACACAGTATATTGACGCCGAGCCTTGTTTAGACCCCTTTAGCCAAGCACCAGGCAGGGTAACAACAAGTACCATCTTTTTAATGTCTTTTGGTATCGAACCCCGGATCTTCCCCTCTACCACTAGACCAAGGAGGCGGCTTTGAGTAAGGAAAAGTTGCCTGTAGACGTGTGCTGAGGGCTTAATGTTGAGATTAAAATTATCTGGAAATGCTCCATGACCATGACCATATTATCAAGATCCTGATTTCGATTTCAGTGCAGTAACACAACTCCTGCAATAGGAAAGCCTGGGAGCTGACTAATACACTTTCCTGGAATTATACCCACCTCATATCATCAATTTCAGCTTTTGAAATTTATGTTCTATTTTTCTCCTATGGATAATGATCATTCATACTAATATGCCTCCCCAATCTTGATAGCATGTTTGATATAAAACCAGAGCTCTCTCCTGCAGTGATTGGAATCATTTTGAATGGTAGGGTTAATCTACAGCTGCAAGGACCTATGGACGTATTGGAATTTTACAGATTTACTGTAATGTAACGTTAACAGAACCAAATTATTAACTCTTAGCCAATTGCTTAATGTGAAATTTGTATCCATGGTTACCATGACCATCCCATCAAGGTACCATGTTTATAACAGAACAAGTAAGTTCTGCAAAGTTTCAATATTTGCTAATATTTCCCGTCTGAATGTACTACTTGTATGAAACTAGATGGATTATTTATTAGCTTTGAGTAAATGTCAGTTTTGGTATGACGTCTTTCACTGTCACAATGACATTATGTAAAGGTCAAGTAAATTTATGTTTACCCTTTTAGATTGAACCTTTCTATTTCCAACTCAATTGTCAGTATTTCATTGATAAAAATATCTTGAATTTCCCAAAACGTTTTGGTGATGGGCTATCAGTAAGTGCATAATAGCATCAGATGTAATGTTTAAGAAAAGATAAATTGTTTGGGTGCATGTATTTTTTCAGCTTTTAAATTACAGTCAGGTCAGATTAAGAGGTGGGAGGACAATTTGTATCAAGGCTGATTTATTGTTAATTACTGAAACAATTCTTGAAATGAAAGGTTAAACAAAAGGACAAAATGGAGCATGGGTTTCAATAGAACAAAGAAATTTTACTCTGCAAAATTATAGGTAGGCTTATTTGTAAAATAACAAAACAAATATCTGTCTTACCTGATGATAATTTCATGTACAATTTTACAGATCATGCTTTGAATATGTAATCTGAAAACACTATTAAATGACTAGTTATACAAAACTGGTAACTTTCAAAGTAAGCATGTATTGTGACAAAAATGTTTGTATTTAATTACTACCAACTTGTACTGAGAACAATACACTCTTTAAAAAAAAGCAACGCACAGGTAGTATGTAGTTCACTGAACCTGACTACACAAAAAATCCGGTATATAAATTGGATTTATATTATTGGAAAATCTTGGTGGCCTGATATTCGACAAATGGTGGGTCAAAACGCAGCCATTGTTGATTTGCAATGTCTTAAATGGCATTGTTTTCACACTTGTTCAAAAATGTCATGGGGAAAATAGTAGAGCAATATGCACGTGCAAGTTATGGCTTTCGTATCTCGTGGTAGTGGTTATAAAAAGGCAAGCATAAGCCAATAATTTTTCATTCAATTGTCAGCATTTTTCAAGTTCGAAAATGCCCAAACTCAGTGCTTCTGATCATAACATCGCCATAGGACGTATACAGAGAGGGGAATCACAGTCTTCTGTTGCACGCCACTTCAATGTCCACCACAGCATCATTTTCTGCCTTTGTGACCGATACACACAATTCAGTTCCACTGCAGACCGCCTGAGAACAGGCCGACCAAGAGTTACCACCCCTGCACAGGATCACCACATTCGATTGTTCCGTCTAAGTCATCGCACAGCTACGGAGACTGCAGGACGCATCCCTGGTTTGAGGAGGATATCGGACCAGACTGTCAGGAACCATCTGCGAGGCTGGAATCCGACCCAGAAGACCAGTTATCGTTCCTGTTTTGCAACAGATCCATCGACAGTGAAACTTGCGTTGGTGCCATACCTTACAGCCTTGGAATTTGAGAAACTGGAGACAAGTGTGGTTTAGCGATGAATCACGATTTCTTCTTCACCGGCGAGATGGAAAACAACGTGTTTATCGTCGCTGAAATGAGCGTTTTGCCCCACATTGTGTATGTGAATTAGACAATTTTGGTGGCGGTAGTGTCATGGTGTAGGGGGCTATATCTTACACCACGAGGTCTGACTTGGTTGTGGTTCAGGGAAATTTGACAGCAAATCGCTACATGGATCAAATTCTTTAACCTCACCTTCTTCCAATCATTGACTGCCAGAGGGAGCTGTTTCAACAGGACAACGCTCCAACGCACACAGCTTGTGTCACAGTAGGCTACCTTCATAAAGCCAACATCAACACCTTGCCCTGGCCGTCAACATCTCTAGATCTCAACCCAATCAAACAGCTCTGGGATGAACTTGATCGACGTGTACATCAATGTCAGAACACTCCACAGACACTCCCACAACTGTCCAACGTGTTACAAGCAGAACAGAGCAGAATTCCACAAGACAGAATTTGTACACTTGTCCAGTCAGTGCCAAGGAGATGCAGAGCCGTGATTGCTGCCCAGGGCTGTCACACGAGATCAGCGCCACCTTGTGGTCTTATGTGACATGACAATGAACAGTTTTCAATGCCTTTGTACAACGACAACATGTGACTGTTGAGCTCCAAAATTTCATATTTGTATCCATGATATTACATTAAATATACCGGCTTTATTAGGTACAATAAATTTACTAAAAATCTACATCTACATTTTGGAGAGTGTAAGTGCTGCTCCCCATGGTGATCCTGGGTTGAAAAAATGGTCCATGATATTACATTAAATATACCGGCTTTATTAGGTACAATAAATTTACTAAAAATCTACATCTACATTTTGGAGAGTGTAAGTGCTGCTCCTGGGTTGGAAAATGGTCCAAAGCTGGTCTTGAAAGGTGACTAAATCAATCGGGTTGTCAGGCCCAGTGACTTGATTGATCACAAGTCATCCTACCCTGATGGCAGGGGCTGGAGCTCATGATATCAATCACTGGTTTGGGTTGCCCAGATTATTTATTGGTTGTGATTATATAGCTAGAGGGAGTGAAGTGGAATGTTGCTAAAGGCGGCATAAAACCATATTCACTCACTCACTCACTCACTCACTCACTCACTCACTCACTCACTCATACTCACTCACTCTATAGTTAGAATATTGCTGAATGCTGTGTTGAACATCAGACAGTGCTGCCAATTGCATGACCTTTATGGGAATCCCAGGGCAAAAAAGGTGAAAAAAAAGTGAAAGTGAAATCTGTTGATTTTTTTTCTCATTCAGTCAGTCACTGATTTGCCCGGCCCAGATAAATTGGTACCAGCATTAGACGTGCAACAAAGTGAATACGCAACAAGAGACAATGTCACCAACATGTGTACTATAAATTTTCAATTGTGTATCTGTTTGTTTCTGGTCTTGCAGGTACAAAGGTTTTATGAAAGATTGTCCTGATGGAAAGCTCACCCTTGAGGTAGGTTAAATTTCAACTATATTTGCAATAATTGAGAACACCCACGCACGCACGCACACAGTCACACAGTCAAACACACATGAGGCACACAAACACTTACACACACCTAGACACACAAATGCACGAACGCGCACAAACACACAGAAAAAAATAGGAAAAAGATATAATAAAAAGAAATGCTTGTGTTTCCTGTTGCCAAACCAATTCATTGTTACACTAAATTAAATTGTGACCATTAAAATGTCATCACAGCTTACAGTCTGAGACATTAATGAGTTACTTGTAAATAAATAATTATAGACTGCTTTCTGTAAAGTTATTTGTAACAAATGTTTGGGGCCTTTGAAGTATGCTCCGACAACAGACACTTCTTCTGGCAACATGTGTCATTGGTGTTAAGTGTCATTGAAGGCAGGTGTCATTGGCAACATGTGTCATTGGTGTTAAGTGTCATTGAAGGCAGGTGTCATTGGCAACATGTGTCATTGGTGTTAAGTATCATTGAAGGCAGGTGTCACTGGCAACGTGTGTCATTGGTGTCAACTGTCATTGAAGGCAGGTGTCATTGGCAACATGTGTCATTGGTGTTAAGTGTCATTGAAGGCAGGTGTCATTGGCAACATGTGTCATTGGTGTTAAGTGTCATTGAAGGCAGGTGTCATTGGTGTTAAGTGTCCTGTGTCACTGGAGAAATAGAGCAGGAACTTATGTCATTTCAGATGTGTGTCGTATTGGATATGTATATTAGGATATACACATGTCAATGGAGACATATATTTGTAAAAAAAACAAATATAACCTGGGATTATCATTTTATTTTATGTTTTAACTCTTCTCTTTTGGTTAATGTAAATATTGTGTGTGTTGAATCTATTGTTGGGATGGTGGGGTTGCAGGGTTTTCAACTTTTTGAATAAAATGTCTCAATGGACAATGGTTCTCATGGTTACAAACATGGTTACATGGTTACTAGCTTGTCTTCATTGCTGTGTTAATCAGAACTATAACTTTTTAACTTTACAGTTTACAAATCAGTGATAGAAACTAACAGTTAAAATTTTAGTCCACTAGTCCTTACAATGATAACATATAGCAAAACCCTTAGAAATGGCAAATTTCTACTAATCCTGATGACATCTTAACCATTGGGCGGTTTGGCAAGGACTATAGAACTAATGCTGTTGACTTTGAATTGAATTTTGCTATTTCTCTAGTTGTCTTTTATTTCGGATTGAGATGGATTGTTTTCTCTTATGAAAATAATGCTTGTTCTTTGTTTTGTAATAATGATGTGAGTGAGTGAGTTGGGTTTAACGCCACTTTTAACAGTATTCCTGTCCAGGACTTGTCAGCTCAATGTAGGAGGAAAGCCCAAAGTGATCGTGGTCTTAGATGTTGACGACTTTGGTGCATGGGTATGGTGATGACAAACTTGGAAAATCAGGGCGAACCGGGATTTGAACCCACAATCATAGGTTTTTGGCTAGTCCAAGAGACACACCTCTGCATATCGAATTGAGGCACCTTAGACAACTGGGCCGCCAATGCCCCCCACAACTAGATGTATTAATTTTCAGAAATAATTTTAAAGAATATATCTGTATAGCTACATTGTGATTGGGAATTCAGTTTCTCTTTCAAGGTTTAATCTTATCTGATGCCTGGAAAACGAAAATTTTATAGTCATGGGAACAAGTCAATATCTCAAGTTTATGTTTGTCTGTGATGGTATAAGGTATGTTCATTCATATGCTACTTATCACACAATGAGTTTCCTGCCCTATCAGTGTCCCAGCTGGGAGGTCTGTAAATGGCCGAGATTATGGTTTGAGAACTGGGAACATCTAGCAAATTCAGGGGATTTAACATCCATAGAGTGTAATGAATGCACCATTGGAAAAGAAATTCTAAACATGCCTAAAAGTCTTTAATGTGATTTAGCAGGAACTCCTCTAACCTTCACTTCAGATTACATCGTCATAATGGCCTGTGTTCTGCCTGCATGACTTGCTTGGCTCCCATCTCCCAGCAGTTACACAAGCCAGCTGGTGCACCTCGACTCCCACCAGCCCCTCTGCCAGGCCTGCCAAAACCATGACGATCCCACCGATTCATTAACTAGATTGCTGTCTGTTTCCCTATCTTGGACTGAAGATGCTACATAACACAAGTGTTGTTGTATATATTTACAAGTTTCAGATCTTAGAAGAAGACTGTTATCCTGGTACTGCTCTTAAGGGAATACTACAATCCTGTTACTTCTCTTAAAGGAACACTGCAAAGCTGTTACTTCTCTTAAAGGAACACTACAAACCTGTTACTTCTCTTAAAGGAATACTACAAAGCTGTTATTTCTCTTAAAGGAACACAACAAAATTGTGACTTCTCTTAAAGGAACTCTGCAAACCTGTTACTTCTCTTAAAGGAACACTGCAAACCTGTTACTTCTCTTAAAGGAACACTGCAAACCTGTTACTTCTCTTAAAGGAACACTGCAAACTTGTTACTTCTCTTAAAGGAACACTGCAAACCTGTTACTTCTCTTAAAGGAACACTGCAACCTGTTACTTTTCTTAAAGGAACACTCAAAACCTGTTACTTATCTTAAAGGAACACTGCAATCTTCATGCTTTTCTCAAAGGAACACTGCAATCTTCATGCTTTTCTCAAAGGAACACTGTAATCTTCATGCTTTTCTCAAAGGAACACTGCAATCTTCATGCTTTTCTCAAAGGAACACTGCAATCCAATTACTGATGGTTGAAGAAACAAGCATTCATGCATCCTGGAAGAGTTTTGGATGCTATTTCAACAGCACAAATGTTTTATTTGTATGTAACTCTGATAAACTTGTGTAACTTGTATTGAGGTTAATAGATTTGTTGAATTCAAGGATGGTAACACTGATGACAGTTTTGTTTCTTTCCCCCAAGAACACAGGTGTTGGTTTATAAAACAAAATCTTTCGTCTAGCAGCACCAACTAGTTTTGAAGAGAAGTAACATTTAAAGTAAAATGTCCTTGGCATTGCCTTTTTGTGGAATAGCAGAAATAGATATAGCATGTTGATAAGCCTGTGTACAAAAACCCTTTTAGTTTGGAAAACTTCACCTTGAATTCCAGCAATATCACAGCGAGGGACACCAGAAATGAGCTTCACACATTGTATATATGGAAAAATCAAACCCTGGCCATCAGCGTGATGAGCGAACGCTTAAACCGCAAAGCTACCCCACCTTGTAGACAACCACAGGGAATGTTGTTTATACATTTGCAAATGGAAATTGCTACATACCCATTCAGTATTCCAGAAATTTGTTGATACAGGAAATTCAACTGGAAGCTACCGTGTGGGGGTCCTACTGGCCGACTTTTCCCTCTCGATTACAGCTGTGTAGAGGGCTGTGTGTACGATCGTATATGCAGAAAATTAGGTTTTATCACTTTCTACTAATAAGAAACATTACCTCTACCATATAACACCAGAAATAGCAGGTCAGCAAGTCTGTTTCCCTTGTTGTAACACAATTTTGTAATAAAAAATATTGAGGGAATAGTTATTGCTATTTCTGGATTATTTTATGAGTCAGACACAGTAATATTGTTTAGTGTGTATCATGAATGATTAGTGTAATAGAAAATACCTTTATTTGTAAATAATAATGCCTACAGTTATCTTTTATTGCAAACTTTACATCAACATTTTGACCAAGTTTGTTGGCTCCAAGCGATGTAATTTTTGACTGCACATTATACACAAGACCTGTTGCCTAGAATGTGTGTTTAAGTGTATATTATAATCAAGAAAATATGGTAATAACAGGCCCACTCCTTTTCTGCTGGCCACAGGCCAAAGGGCTAGAAGTAAGTAAAGCCTAGGATCTTTGCTTCGGGCAGCTCCTGATGTCAGCAGGTGCTCCTTGTGAGTGTCAGAGGTGCTCTGTCAGGCTCTATCACCCACCAAACCTTCTGCAGCCTCCCAGGCATTTATCTAGGGTTCAAAACTGTGCCCATGACAGCCAATTGAGAAGGAATCATTTTTTTATTTAAAATTGGGATTTTTAAAAAGTAATTATCTTTTTAAATTATGAGAAAGTTTAACACTGTAGTTTAGCAATACATTCAATGCAGTAATGTAAAACTAAGCATTTAGCATCATCCTCTTGGTTGGCCTTGTTATAAGTGACATAAAATTCACATGAGATGAAAACTTGGTCTATGATAATAGAGATGAAAACTTGGTCTATGAAAATACTTTTTAAAATTGTAATCTATTTCTTCAAAAGAAACTTTCCTCCTCTGCTGTTTTCATAATAGGACTAAGTTTAGTTTTATCTAGTTTTATTTTTTAAATAAATTCCACGGTCATGGCGCAGGACTGAATTCAAATCTACCAGAACTAAGTTTCACAAAGCGATTCTAGTGCTGTGAATATCATAAGGCCTATACTTTAACATTGACTTTCAACAGTTGTAGTGCTACGACTATCATAACGCCTATACTTTAACATTGACTTTCAACAGTTGTAGTGCTATGACTATCATAACGCCTATACTTTAACATTGACTTTCAACAGTTGTAGTGCTATGACTATCATAACGCCTATACTTTAACATTGACTTTCAACAGTTGTAGTGCTACGACTATCATAACGCCTATACTTTAACATTGACTTTCAACAGTTGTAGTGCTATGACTATCATAACGCCTATACTTTAACATTGACTTTCAACAGTTGTAGTGCTATGACTATCATAACGCCTATACTTTAACATTGACTTTTAACAGTTGTAGTGCTATGACTGCTCTGGGAAATGAGGCCCTGAGTATAACATTGGTTATAAGTATAATAACATGACTTGGGGAAAGTTTTAATTCCAATTTAGGAACTTTTCCGACATTTGCTGCAGACTTGGGGCGGAATATCTGCCTCCGAGCATGCCTAGATCAATCCCTGCCTAGCGCCTGCCCTCTGTCTGGCTCAGCTCCTTGAAGCTATA